CATACTTCATACATTCCATGTTCTAATTTTCAATGGATGTTTACAGCTGTTCCTCTTCATTTTGAGTTGTGCCCCATCAGCAAATGAAGGTCCCACGGGCTTTACTCCATTCGCGTCATCATGGTCAACTCTACTTTGAGGAGGCAGCTCTTCCCCAGTCATATTTTGAGTGCCTTCCAACCTGAGGGGCTCATTTTCCAGCACTAGATCTGACAGTGTTTCTCTGCTATTCATAAGGTTTTCAGTGACTAAATATTTAGAAGTAGTTTGTCACTCCTTCTTCCTAGTCTGTCTTCATCTAGAAGCTCATCTGAAACCTGTCCACCATGGGTGACCCTGCTGATATTTAAAATACCGGTTGCATAGCTTTCAGAATCACAGCAACTCACAAGCCACCACAGTATGACAAACTGACAGACAAGTGGTGGAAATAGATTATTAGGACATTCTAAAAATTAGAAACTTAAGTGCATCAAAGGATTTCACCAAAAGAGTAAACAGGGAGCCCACAGAATGAGAAAACATCTTTTGCAATGACATATCAGACAAGGAACTAATTTCTAAAATCAATAGGAAACCACAACACCTATACAAGAAAAAAACAAGTTACCCAATTAAAAAATGGGCACAGGACATGAATAGATACTTCACCAAGGAAAATATTTGAACAACCAACAAACATTTAAAGAAATGTTCATGATCATTAGCCATTAGAGAGCTACAAATTAAAACAACAATGAGATATCATCTCACACCAGCAATAACAGAAAAGTTCAAAAATGCAGAGGACAATAAATGCTGGCAAGGATGTGGAGGCTAGGCCCCTCCTACATTGCTGTTGGGAATGCAAAATGGTCCAACCACTCTGGAAAACAGTGTGGTTCTTCTTCATAAAGTTGGAAATAGAAATACCATATGATCCAGCAATTCCTCTACTTGGTATATATCCACAAGAAATATAAGCTATAACACGAGTAGATATATGCACACAAATGTTCTCATAGCAGCATTATTTACAATCTCAAAAAGATGGAGACAGCCCTAAGTGCCCATCAATGGAAGAATGTATAAACAAACTGTGGTACATATACACAATGAAATAGTATGCTACCTTGAAGAATAACAAGGAAGCAGTAAACCACCACATAACATGGATGAACCTTGAGGACATTATGCTAAGTGAAATTATTCAGTCACAAAAAGGCAAATATTGCATAAGACCATTACTTCAAAAGCTTAAAAAAAAAGATACCCATACTAAAAGGGAAAAATTAAATTAAAAAAAGAAAAGTAATGGCCGATGTTAGGTAATCATTTTAAAGCACTTCCACATCAACAAGTAACAACATAATTGTTTTAAATATATTTTTACCTCTTAGTATTTTATTAGATTCTCCTCTTTAAAGAAAATGTGCAATTCTTGAAGGCAAGGTAAAAATCAAGCTCTTTGCTTTAACTCCATTATCACTAAATCTTCACAACGTATTCCCAAACTATGTCTAACAATCTCCATTTTTAAGATGAAAAAGCAAAGGGATTAAATTAACAAATTCAATGTATTACCAGTTGGTCAAGATATCCATTTCCCAAATGTTTTAGACAAGTGAGGATTTAGCCCATTTTGTCCTTGTATACGATATGCAATCTGTTTTAAATTTGGCCAAGCGTAGAGTGACTCTACTCTCCCAGATGGTGGACTGCATCTGGAAGACTATGTTCAGTGCTGGGCACCACACACCCAGGAAAGGGTGACAGCAGACAAAGCCTTCTTGGAAGTAGAATGGAGTCTTACCTGTCCAGTCCCTCCCCGCTGGCACTGCTGAAACACCACTGTCAAAACAAGTTACCTGTTGACTACCAGTTGACCCCGGCTCCTTGCAACCCCATAACGTGGTGGCTATAAAATATTTCTGTATAGATTATCTTTTCATTCCATTTTTCCATGCAATTCCTGTACCCCTCATATATTGCAGATGAAAACAGTGCTCCACAGAGTTTTCACGGTTGTGACCTTCTGGAAGCAGATCACCAGGACTTCCTTCCCAGGTACCTCTAGGTGGGTTGGAACTTCCAAGCTTGTGATTAGTAGTCGTGCGCTTCACTGCTAGCACCACCCAGGAACTCTTGATAATCACAAAGGTTTCTTCTAATGATGAGTTGTTATTTTTTTTTAATACTTATATTGCATCTGATGGGGCTTTCAGTTAGACATTAAAATTACAGTTTTCACACAAAAAGTTCTAAGTCACTAGTGAATTAGAAGAACAAAAAGGGAAAAACCATTTGTACAGACTTCAGTGTATCATTTTATCTAAAGGGAGAAGGGATCAAGTGACCTCTTGAGTTTCCCTTCCAGTCGGCCTCAAAGGATTATCATTATTTTAATCTGCAAGAAGTGACTCTTCAACAAACAACAGCCAACAACAAAACAACAAACTTTTTAAAACAGGCCTCAGTGGAAAAATTAATCATTTACAATTATACAGGGGGAAAAATAAATTGGTTGAAAGCATTTCACATTTTATGAACCTTTTCAAAAAAGACATGTAATTTATGTTATATAATATAGTTTTATAAATATTTAATTATTGTTTTCAAAAATTTGAACCAACGTAGGTCAGACATTTGTCTTACAATGGAATGGTTTGTTTTTGTAAGGCAAAAAATTTATTTCATACAATTGATTTTAACTCAATTTACTCCTTCAGGTTGGAGAAGCATTTAGAAAATGTAGGTATCTTATTTAGACTGCATTTAAAGAAGACTTCAGTGTTTAGATAGCATTGTTATAAATAACTGCATTATATATGTTATAGAGTCATGGTATGACTCTATAGGATAAGCACTAGACAGAAAGGTCGGTTTGAACCACAAGGTCAGCGATTCAAACTCACCAACCACTCCTTGGAAACCCTATACAGGGTCGCTATGTGTCAGAACCGATTCAACAGCACTTAACAACAACAACATACATGTCATATATGTATTATACAAGGGGGCTTCATAAGTTCATGGAAAAAATGGAAGGAAAAGCTAATGGAACTGTTCCACTAACTTTCTGAAGCCCCGCATACACTGTTATTACAGGACAGTTTACATCTGCTACTTTCATATACTCTAAAACGATTATCTTATTGTCACTTGCTATTGTTTCTAACGAATTCTGGCACTCACCAAACCACTCTGTTAACCTCTCCAACAGATCACCTTCTTGGATTTCTTTTTTTCCACTCACTATGACCCAGGCAGTATTTTAAATTTCCTGGAGGCACATGTTTATTCTGCTTTTCTCATTGGTTGTTGTTGAGTTCTGTGAGTCAGTTAAGATTCATAGCAATCCTGTATAGATTTCTAGAGAGCAACTGATGGGCTCAAACCACCAACCTTGCAGTTAGCAACCCAGTGCTTATCTTTCAGCACCACACCAGGACTACTCTCATTGGTAGTAGGTACTATACTGCTCATCTTGTACTTGATGAGACTAGTATAGAAAAATATGCAGAGATTTATGCAACGTAAGACAATAATTCAGTGATTAAAGTCTGGAACAGAAATTAAGTAAGGGATAGAATTTGGGGTTTATATACCTACATCTAATTTTGTTAAAATCAATGCTGTATGATTTGGAATAAAAGCTTTGTATTTATAATTCTCATATGTCAATTTATGTGAAGCTTCTCCTTGAAAGGGCACCACATGCTGTACAAAATGAAACATGTTCATTTGTGGTTCATAACTCTCAAGGGTCATCATGTGCCTGAAAAACACATTAATACAGATTCACAAAAAGACTTTGTGACTTGAAACCTGAAATTCTTAATCATTAAAACAGACAGGAAAACATCTGGCATATTCCACAACATACGAGCCACACAATACCCTGCTTAATGCCCGAGAAGACATCTATTTCACAATACTGGGATAGTGACTACATTTCATTCAAGGCCATTATTTTAGAAAGAGGAACATCGATTGGCTGTCTTACAAACATTGTCTCAATTCAATCTCACCTAAGTCTCCTTATTTTAAAAGATGAAGAGAGTAAGTTTAAGAGAGATAAGAGTCCTGGTGTAGTGCAAGGTAGGTAGTTCCACCTCACCAGCCACTCTTCGGAAAACCCTATACAGGGTTGTTAGGAGTTGGAATGGACTCAACAGTACTTAACAACAACAACAACAACAACAACAACCAGACAAAAGGCAGAGCCAGAGTTCAAACTCAAGCCTGTGTGACTCCAATGCCACCACACCATACTGCCCCCTAAACACATCACTGGTTTTCAAAACCAGACATTGAGGGGAAAAATCAATCAAGAACTTACTTGTTGGTAAAAAATAGCTTACTAGCACTTCTATCACAGATTCTTTTGCCAAAGCCTGTCCATCAGCATTCTCATTTTTCCATAGGATATATTCGCTTTGGGCCACAGAGTTGGACAAACCTTTAGAAGAAGTAAAATTATTATCAACAGATAAAGCATTTCTCACTTTTGATGTAATTACCTCCCGTAGTTACGGAAAGTGTAATAGTTAATAGATAATGAACCTGGAATTTTCTTAACAGTGTAGATATTATTAATCAGATTATGATTCTGCTATAAAACTTAAAAAGCTGAATATTAATTTACAAACACTTAACCAGTAGGCCAAAACTCCCTATTGCTCCAGTGTTGATTGAATTCCAATCGGAATTTTCAAGAACTGACATCAAAGAGACCTAATTGATTGACAGTTGAAAACAGTATGTATTCGAACTAAATCAGTTATTAGTAATAACCCCATCAAAGAAACACATGGCAAAGATATCATTAGATTTTCTTATTTACTGATAAAAAACCAAGGTTCTTACATACAGTAATCCTGCCTTATCCTTCCTTGTTACTTCAAAAAATCTGTTTTCAGTCTTGTTTGCATGAATCCAATATAGAAGAATATCCTGTTGTTTTGTTTTGAATCAGGAATGAAAGTAAGATTTTATAACCATAACCATATTTACCCTCTGCATATTAATTATTAAATATATGTTCTAAGGAGCTCTGGTAGCACAGTGGTTACGAATCAGACTATGAACCTTGTCAGCAGTTTGAAACTGCAGTTGTTCAGCGGGAGAAAGATGAGGCTTTCTGCTCCCATAAAGATTTTACAGCCTCGGAAACCCTGTAAAGGGTTACTATGAGTCGGAACCAACTCCACAGCACATAAACACCACCACCACCAAGTGTTAATACTTTATGTAGTAATTTTGGATCAACATTCATAAGTGAAGTGTGTCTGTAGCTTTCTGTTTTGTACTCTATCTGCAGGTTTTGGCATAAGGACTATACCACCTGCTTCATAAAAGGCATGGTGAAGAGTCTCGTCTTTTTCTATACTGAAACCATTTAAACAGCATAGGAATTATTTGATCCATTAAAGGTTTGGAAAAATGCTGGAAAACAGTATCTATCATTTGGTTTTCTTCATGGTCACTATTAAACTTTTAAGATTTTCCCCCCATAGGAAATCATCCACTTTCAAAATGATTATTAGGATGAAATTGTAAGATTATTCACTTAAAATGTTTTAATCTCCTTTATGTCTGTTACACTCTTACTCAATTGGGATCATACCACCTCCAAGGTGACCTGAACGTGTATTCTCAGCCTGTAGTGTACAAGTAATTTTATTATCAATATCAAATTAAAATACATTATTCAAATGCTCTATAGATTTTTTTTTTTCTGTCAAGGAGTACAATATATGTACCAGCATCTCTCACTATGATGGCTTTGTATGTTTCTACTTGCATTTCTTAAAATATTTCAACACTATGATATTCATTCATGAGAGGTGTAGCTTCTGTGTATATTACACAGCTTGACAATATAAAAATAACCCATCCGGTCCTCTTTTCTTTTCTTTTTTTTTTTTTGTCCTAACTCCTACTCATTTGATAAATATCTATTGAATACCTACATCCTAGATCCTGGGGATACATCAGTGAACAACTCAGGCCAAATCCCTGCTCTCATAAAGCTTACAATCTAGTGGAGAAAACAGACAGAAAGAAGAAAGAAAACTAAAATTTAAATAATGACAAGTGACAATGAGTGCTATGAAAGGCACTGGATATTGCTACAGAACAGAGCAGGGTGTCTAAACTAGGGCTACCTCTCTAAGATGATAAGTAAACCTCTTCCCCATCCCACCCCCCTGCCCCCCAAAACAGGATTAGAAACCAGCCACAAAAAGGACCTAGAGGAGTGCTCCCAGCACAGGAGATAAGTGAGATGACTATCACCAGGAATACTTTGCTAGATTAGAAGGCCCGCTGCCTAGCGACACAGGGAAGGAGCTAAAGCTGGACATCTGTTCACCTTCATGAAGCAGCAAGGACTGGAGCCCCTAATCCCTGCCACACAGGCTCATCCTTAGCCTGAGGTGAAACAGGTTGCTGCCACTTCCCTCCGGTTGGCCGCTGTGATTATCTTTTAGAAATCCTTCAAGCTTCTTTGAAACTGATGGAACCCTTCTTGACTCACCAGACTTTCCCCTATTCTAGACATTTGATCATTTTAATGGGCATTTGAAATGGGGAAGACAATTAAACATCTTTACCTAAACCCAAAGTCCTACACACGCTTAACTATGCCCCTCTCTAACACTGGTTCCTTTACCATCCTGAAAGAGATTTCTCTAAAACTAACTTTGAGCATTATTCCCTAAAGAGTGGCGTGAATACCACTAGTAGTACGTAAGATGATTTCAGGTAGAATTTCAGAAAGAATACATGAATATGAGTGCATATATTTATCATTCCCATCACTCATCTTTCAGTTTACCTTACTGACAAACTGACTTGTGTGATGCTGTAATGCTGAAAGCTATGCCACCAGCATTTCAAATACTAGCAAGGTTTCAGCAGAGTTTACAGACTAAGACAGACTAGGAAGAAAGGCCTGGAAGTACTCATAACTGGCCCAATAAGCAACATCATGATAACAGAAGTTGTCAAGGATTTTATTTATTTGGATCCATTATCAACACCCAGAAAAGCAGCAGTCAAGAATGTATTGCACTGGGCAGATCTGCAAAAGATCTCTTTAAAGTGTTAAAGACCAAGGATGGCACTTTGTGGACTAATGGCCATCTATGCCAAGCCATGATACTTACAATTACCTCATATGCATGCAAATGCTGAACAATGAATTAGGAAGAATGAAGAAAAATGAAGTGTTCTGATTCTGGTGATGGAGTCCTGGTGTGGCTCTGTAGGTTAATGCGCTGGACTGCAATGTCTATTTGAACCGCAAGGTCAGCAGTTCAAGCTCACCAGCCAATCCTCAGAACCCTCTGGTAGCGTAGTGGTTACGAATCGGGCTGCGAACCTTAAGGTCAGTGGTTCGAAACTACCAGCCGCTCCG